TTCAACATATATGAAACATTACTCTCAGCCTACACACAACACACAAACCCTGTAAAGTAATCATTCAACATATATGAAACATTACTCTCAGCCTACACACAACACACATACCCTGTAAAGTAATCATTCAACATATATGAAACATTACTCTCAGCCTACACACAACACACAAACCCTGTAAAGTAATCATTCAACATATATGAAACATTACTCTCAGCCTACACACAACACACAAACCCTGTAAAGTAATCATTCAACATATATGAAACATTACTCTCAGCCTACACACAACACACACACCCTGTAAAGTAATCATTCAACATATATGAAACATTACTCTCAGCCTACACACAACACACACACCCTGTGAAGTAATCATTCAACATATATGAAACATTACTCTCAGCCTACACACAACACACACACCCTGTAAAGTAATCATTCAACATATATGAAACATTACTCTCAGCCTACACACAACACACATACCCTGTAAAGTAATCATTCAACATATATGAAACATTACTCTCAGCCTACACACAACACACAAACCCTGTAAAGTAATCATTCAACATATATGAAACATTACTCTCAGCCTACACACAACACACAAACCCTGTAAAGTAATCATTCAACATATATGAAACATTACTCTCAGCCTACACACAACACACAAACCCTGTAAAGTAATCATTCAACATATATGAAACATTACTCTCAGCCTACACACAACACACAAACCCTGTAAAGTAATCATTCAACATATATGAAACATTACTCTCAGCCTACACACAACACACATACCCTGTAAAGTAATCATTCAACATATATGAAACATTACTCTCAGCCTACACACAACACACAAACCCTGTAAAGTAATCATTCAACATATATGAAACATTACTCTCAGCCTACACACAACACACAAACCCTGTAAAGTAATCATTCAACATATATGAAACATTACTCTCAGCCTACACACAACACACAAACCCTGTAAAGTAATCATTCAACATATATGAAACATTACTCTCAGCCTACACACAACACACACACCCTGTAAAGTAATCATTCAACATATATGAAACATTACTCTCAGCCTACACACAACACACAAACCCTGTAAAGTAATCATTCAACATATATGAAACATTACTCTCAGCCTACACACAACACACATACCCTGTAAAGTAATCATTCAACATATATGAAACATTACTCTCAGCCTACACACAACACACAAACCCTGTAAAGTAATCATTCAACATATATGAAACATTACTCTCAGCCTACACACAACACACAAACCCTGTAAAGTAATCATTCAACATATATGAAACATTACTCTCAGCCTACACACAACACACAAACCCTGTAAAGTAATCATTCAACATATATGAAACATTACTCTCAGCCTACACACAACACACAAACCCTGTAAAGTAATCATTCAACATATATGAAACATTACTCTCAGCCTACACACAACACACAAACCCTGTAAAGTAATCATTCAACATATATGAAACATTACTCTCAGCCTACACACAACACACAAACCCTGTAAAGTAATCATTCAACATATATGAAACATTACTCTCAGCCTACACACAACACACATACCCTGTAAAGTAATCATTCAACACATATGAAACATTACTCTCAGCCTACACACAACACACAAACCCTGTAAAGTAATCATTCAACATATATGAAACATTACTCTCAGCCTACACACAACACACATACCCTGTAAAGTAATCATTCAACACATATGAAACATTACTCTCAGCCTACACACAACACACAAACCCTGTAAAGTAATCATTCAACATATATGAAACATTACTCTCAGCCTACACACAACACACACACCCTGTAAAGTAATCATTCAACATATATGAAACATTACTCTCAGCCTACACACAACACACACACCCTGTAAAGTAATCATTCAACATATATGAAATATTACTCTCAGCCTACACACAACACACACACACTGTAAAGTAATCATTCAACATATATGAAACATTACTCTCAGCCTACACACAACACACACACCCTGTAAAGTAATCATTCAACATATATGAAACATTACTCTCAGCCTACACACAACACACACACCCTGTAAAGTAATCATTCAACATATATGAAACATTACTCTCAGCCTACACACAACACACACACACCCTGTAAAGTAATCATTCAACACATATGAAACATTACTCTCAGCCTACACACAACACACAAACCCTGTAAAGTAATCATTCAACACATATGAAACATTACTCTCAGCCTACACACAACACACACACCCTGTAAAGTAATCATTCAACACATATGAAACATTACTCTCAGCCTACACACAACACACACACCCTGTAAAGTAATCATTCAACATATATGAAACATTACTCTCAGCCTACACACAACACACACACCCTGTAAAGTAATCATTCAACATATATGAAACATTACTCTCAGCCTACACACAACACACACACCCTGTAAAGTAATCATTCAACATATATGAAACATTACTCTCAGCCTACACACAACACACACACCCTGTAAAGTAATCATTCAACATATATGAAACATTACTCTCAGCCTACACACAACACACACACCCTGTAAAGTAATCATTCAACATATATGAAACATTACTCTCAGCCTACACACAACACACACACCCTGTAAAGTAATCATTCAACATATATGAAACATTACTCTCAGCCTACACACAACACACACACCCTGTAAAGTAATCATTCAACATATATGAAACATTACTCTCAGCCTACACACTACACACAACACACAACCCTGTAAAGTAATCATTCAACACATATGAAACATTACTCTCAGCCTACACACAACACACACACCCTGTAAAGTAATCATTCAACACATATGAAACATTACTCTCAGCCTACACACAACACACACACCCTGTAAAGTAATCATTCAACATATATGAAACATTACTCTCAGCCTACACACAACACACACACCCTGTAAAGTAATCATTCAACATATATGAAACATTACTCTCAGCCTACACACAACACACACACCCTGTAAAGTAATCATTCAACATATATGAAACATTACTCTCAGCCTACACACAACACACACACCCTGTAAAGTAATCATTCAACATATATGAAACATTACTCTCAGCCTACACACAACACACAAACCCTGTAAAGTAATCATTCAACATATATGAAACATTACTCTCAGCCTACACACAACACACAAACCCTGTAAAGTAATCATTCAACATATATGAAACATTACTCTCAGCCTACACACAACACACACACCCTGTAAAGTAATCATTCAACATATATGAAACATTACTCTCAGCCTACACACAACACACAAACCCTGTAAAGTAATCATTCAACATATATGAAACATTACTCTCAGCCTACACACAACACACAAACCCTGTAAAGTAATCATTCAACATATATGAAACATTACTCTCAGCCTACACACAACACACAAACCCTGTAAAGTAATCATTCAACATATATGAAACATTACTCTCAGCCTACACACAACACACACACCCTGTAAAGTAATCATTCAACATATATGAAACATTACTCTCAGCCTACACACAACACACAAACCCTGTAAAGTAATCATTCAACATATATGAAACATTACTCTCAGCCTACACACAACACACATACCCTGTAAAGTAATCATTCAACATATATGAAACATTACTCTCAGCCTACACACAACACACATACCCTGTAAAGTAATCATTCAACACATATGAAACATTACTCTCAGCCTACACACAACACACACACACCCTGTGAAGTAATCATTCAACATATATGAAACATTACTCTCAGCCTACACACAACACACACACCCTGTAAAGTAATCATTCAACATATATGAAACATTACTCTCAGCCTACACACAACACACACACCCTGTAAAGTAATCATTCAACATATATGAAACATTACTCTCAGCCTACACACAACACACACACCCTGTAAAGTAATCATTCAACATATATGAAACGTTACTCTCAGCCTACACACAACACACACACCCTGTGAAGTAATCATTCAACATATATGAAACATTACTCTCAGCCTACACACAACACACACACCCTGTAAAGTAATCATTCAACATATATGAAACATTACTCTCAGCCTACACACAACACACACACACTGTAAAGTAATCATTCAACATATATGAAACATTACTCTCAGCCTACACACAACACACAAACCCTGTAAAGTAATCATTCAACATATATGAAACATTACTCTCAGCCTACACACAACACACACACACTGTAAAGTAATCATTCAACATATATGAAACATTACTCTCAGCCTACACACAACACACAAACCCTGTAAAGTAATCATTCAACATATATGAAACGTTACTCTCAGCCTACACACAACACACACACCCTGTAAAGTAATCATTCAACATATATGAAACATTGTAAAGTGTTTCTAAACATTGTATTCTTAACTCATTATTCACAAAATTCAACAAAATCCTCCATCATAAAAAATTTATTTCCCTGAGATATCCAAGTAATTTATCTATCACCCCCCCCCAGCCCCATGCCCCAGCACCTCCATACCCCCCCATAATCTACCACCTCTCCTCTCCCCATAATCTACCACCTCTGCTTCCCCATAATCTACCACCTCTCCTGGCCCCCATAATCTACCACCTCTCCTCCCCCATAATCTACCACCTCTCCTCCCCCATAATCTACCACCTCTCCCCATAATCTACCACCCCTCCCCCATAATCTACCACCCCTCCCCCCATAATCTACCACCTCTCCCCCTATAATCTACCACCCCACCTCCCCCCATAATCTACCACCTCTCCTGCCCCATAATCTACCTCCCCTCCCCCTCTACACTCTACCATCTACTCCCTATCTTGCTGCCTCTGACCACTAACTCCTGCTCTCTCTTCCACAGCATGTGAAAGACAACATGAGAAAAGAATGTAAATGCCACGGTATGTCTGGCTCCTGTACCGTCAAGACGTGTTGGTGGAGACTCCCCTACTTCAGAAGGGTGGGCGACGCCCTAAAGGTAAGGGGAAATAGGGGAAATAGGGACCTATATAACCCCCCTATTTAGTAGGGGGAGTATAGCTTAATTGGTTCAGCCGGATAGGAATGGTTATTTCATTTATAAGATGACAGTGGTAAGGCATTTTCTCCTGATAGGTAGAATAGGAGAAAAGGGGATAGTAGCGCCTATTCAGAAAGTGGTTAAGTAATCTTAAAAGCTTCAGCTCCTGGGGTCCAGCCATATTGGCAAATGTGCTGGGACTCCAGACCTACTTATATGTCTATCCTCATATAGATATGAAAGCCATATACATTCCAACCTATCCATACACCCCTAGTATTGCCATGTGTAACTATACACCATATACATCCCTATCGGTCATACAGATATAGGGTGTATTGCAGCTTGCATACGAACAGCTGATAATACATCAGCTAATACATTAGCTGATGTATTATCTGGGGCTAATTAACCTAACTGCACCTCCGCGTTCAGACGAGGTATATCAGATGTCAATCAGAACGCTAGGCTAGCCCTTCATGTTTACGTATACTTGTGGGCAGGTATACTTATGGATAGATGAACCTGTCGGCATGTATACCTCTGGATACATGTGCTTGTGGCTAGGTATTCATAAAGGCAGAATAGCAGCTATAATTAAGGGAAATGTCAGTGTTTTAAAGAGACAGGATTCAGTCTATATATATATATATATATATATATATATATATATATATATATATATATATATATATATATATATATATATATATATATATATATGATTTATATGGTATTTTAATATATAAAGACAAAAATATATTCACGACCGAATGTTGAATCGTGATTGGTCTTATGCTATCCTCGGGTGACAGGACTTAAGACCAACATTAACGATATATTATTGGCCTTAAGAACCCTCCCCTCCCCCCCAGACTTCAGAGAGCATGTTTAAGTCCCATTACTTACCCTTAAAGGCCACTAACAACCAGTAATGAAGTGGTTGGACTGAACGAGCCCTTCTCCAACACTGCCTATTCCTGCTTTAACACAAAATACCTCTATTGCCTGTTTATCTACCCTGATATCAGTAGCTACACTGATGTCAGAATCTATCCTGATATCAGTAGCTACCCTGATGTCAGTATCTACACTGATGTCAGTATCTACCCTGATGTCAGAATCTACCCTGATGTCAGTATCTACACTGATGTCAGTATCTACCCTGATGTCAGTATCTATCCTGATGTCAGTAGCTACCCTGATGTCAGTATCTACCCTGATGTCAGTATCTATCCTGATAGCAGTATCTACCCTGATGTCAGTATCTACCCTGATGTCAGTATCTACCTTGATGTCAGTATCTACCCTGATGTCAGTATCTACCCTGATGTCAGTATCTACCCCTGACGTCAGTATCTACCCTGATGTCAGTATCTACCCTGATGTCAGTATCTACCCCTGACGTCAGTATCTACCCTGACGTCAGTATCTCTCTTACAACAGCTTCCCATAACTACAGTACCCCCCAGAAAATGGGGGACCCCCCTGAATATGGGGGGACCCCCTGACAAAGAGGGACCCCCTGAAATGGGGGGGGACCCCCCTGAGAATGGGGGGACCCCCTGACAAAGAGGGACCCCCTGAAAAGGGGGGGAACCCCCTGACAACATCACCCCTATGCTTCCAATCGTGTTTCTCACTCTGTCTCCCAATCCGTCAAGCAGGGCCTCCAGGCCACCAACTCCCCCCTCCCACCCTCGAACCACTGACCAAACTGACCTCTCCCGCTCCTTCAGGACCGCTTCGACGGGGCCTCGCGGGTGCTGGTGAAGAACGTAGGCAACCCGCGCACGCCCAACGACCGACGGCCCAATCGCAGACGTAAGAGCAAGCGACGGAAGAGGAAATCTTACAGGCTTTTCAAGCCGTTTAATCCAGAACACAAGCCTCCCTCCAAGAAAGATCTTGTCTACCTGGAGGAGTCTCCGGACTTTTGTGTCAGGAACCGTCAACTGGGTAAGGAGAGAGTGGAGAGAGAGAGAGAGAGAGAGAGAGAGAGAGAGAGAGAGAGAGAGAGAGAGAGAGAGAGAGAGAGAGAGAGAGAGAGAGAGAGAGAGAGAGAGAGAGAGAGAGAGAGAGAGAGAGAGAGAGAGAGAGAGAGAGAGAGAGAGAGAGAGAGAGAGAGAGAGAGAGAGAGAGAGAGAGAGAGAGAGAGAGAGAGAGAGAGAGAGAGAAATAAATGGACCTCTGGGAGTAAATTTCTACTAAGTTAAGGCAGGATAACAGCTCTTGCTTGCATTTTCACTAGATACGTCATTTGACAGCCCTTATGAACCTAGTCTTAGTTAAAACAGAGAGAGAGAGAGAGACAGAGAGAGAGAGAGAGAGAGAGAGAGAGAGAGACAGAGAGAGAGAGAGAGAGAGAGAGAGAGAGAGAGAGAGAGAGAGAGAGAGAGAGAGAGAGAGAGAGAGAGAGAGAGAGAGAGAGAGAGAGAGAGAGAGAGAGAGAGAGAGAGAGAGAGAGAGAGAGAGAGAGAGAGAGAGAGAGAGAGAGAGAGAGAGAGAGAGAGAGAGAGAGAGAGAGAGAGAGAGAGAGAGAGAGAGAGAGAGAGAGAGAGAGAGAGAGAGAGAGAGAGACAGAGATAGAGAGAGAGAGAGATAGAGAGAGAGAGACAGAGAGACAGACAGAGAGACAGAGAGAGAGAGAGAGAGTAACAAGGAAAACCAACAAATGCATTTAGATTCATTTTCTCAATTTCCATTTAACCTTCTGTTGCAAAATTGAAATCATGTGTACCTATATACAAGTGAATTTAAGTATATTCCTATCCAAAACTATATTTGAGAATCAACAATTTACCCAACCTATCCTTACTGACGATCCTTTGATGTAACCAGGTATCAACCAGGTATCAACCAGGTATCAACCAGCTCCTTATTCATCAATGTCAAATCTACCCAACATAGAGCAAGATTACCGAACTTCCACCAGGGGGTTAGAATGACCAGGGGCCAGATTCACGAAGCAGTTACGCAAGCACTTACGAACCTGTACATCTTTTCTCAATCTTTGGCGGCTTTGTTTACAATTATTAAACAGTTAATGAGCTCGGAAGCACCAGGAGGCTGTTTATAACAATAACAACAGTTGATTGGCAAGTTTTCATGCTTGTAAACTGTTTAATAAATGTAACCAAAGCCGTCAAAGATTCAGGAAAGATGTGTACACGTTCGTAAGTGCTTGCGTAACTACTTCGTGAATCTGGCCCCAGGGGGTTAATATCCCTAGGTTTACTCACCTCAAACTACCACCAGGGAGCCTAATCACCAGGGGCCAGATTCACGCAAACACTTACGAACGTGTACACATCTTTCCTCAATCTTTGATGGCTTTGGTTACATTTATTAAACAGTTTACAAGCATGAAAACTTGCCAATCAACTGTTGTTATTGTTATAAACAGCCTCCTGGTGCTTCCGAGCTCATTAACTGTTTAATAATTGTAAACAAAGCCGCCAAAGATTGAGAAAAAAATGTACAGGTTCGTAAGTGCTTGCGTAAGTACTTTCGTGAATCTGGCCCTAAGGCCTCCCTAAACCACTTCCAGCCCCATTAACAACCCCTTAGACCATTATAAGCCGCCAAAGATTGAAAAAAGATGGATAGGTTCGTAAGTGTTTGCGTAAGTGCTTTCGAGAATCTGTCCCCCACACTAATATCTCCCTCTCTCACCAGGTATCATCGGCACTCGAGGCAGAGAGTGTAACAACACCAGCATAGGTGTAGACGGCTGTGACCTCATGTGTTGTGGCCGGGAGTACGAGACTCGAGTGCTCGAGGTGGAGGAAAGGTGCTCCTGCACCTTCCAGTGGTGTTGTGTGGTCAAGTGTAAGACGTGCAAGTATATGAAAACGGTCCATACCTGCTCCTAGTGCCCCCCTGCACACACACACACACATACACACCTGCTTCCCACACCTGTGTGATTTTCCCACGGTGACATGTGTGTGTGTCTCTCCCTCCTCAGTGACATTGAAAGGATGGCACATAAACGCGTCTAATAAGCCGGAATCTTAGCTATTAAGACGCTGTAAATGTGACGTTCGCTACAATAATAACCCGAAAACCTTTGTAAATATGGAAGACAATGCCCCCGCAGAGCAAAATGAATAGTGTAAATAGGTAATGACCAATTTGTAAATATAGAAAACTCGCTCTAGTTCAGGTGTGTGTGTGTAAGTGTGTAAATATATCAACACTTCAAGACACCTGATATCAACAAGTCAAAGAGAAAACGTCCGCTGAAGGATAAAGAAAATGCATAGATAAACTAAATGCAAATAAATGCAGTTTTTGGATACATCAAGAAGAAAATATTAAGCTGTGAGCTCGTCTAAGGAGGTGTAGTTCGTGTTAAGCTCCTCACTAACGGTCGTTAGAGGTCGTTTAAGGAGACAGGTGATCTGACGACGTCTTGATGGGCTAATTGACAAGTGTTTCTGTCACCTCCCACGCGGTGTCAAGACGGGCCACGTGTACCAAGATAGACCACGTACATCAAGATAGACCACGTACATCAAGATAGACCACGTACATCAAGATAGATAGACCACGTATATCAAGATAGACCACGTACATCAAGATAGATAGACCACGTATATCAAGATAGACCACGTATATCAAGATAGATAGACCACGTACATCAAGATAGACCACGTACATCAAGATAGATAGACCACGTATATCAAGATAGACCACGTACATCAAGATAGATAGACCACGTATATCAAGATAGACCACGTATATCAAGATAGACCACGTATATCAAGATAGACCACGTACATCAAGATAGACCACGTACATCAAGATAGACCACGTACATCAAGATAGACCACGTATATCAAGATAGACCACGTATATCAAGATAGACCACGTATATCAAGATAGACCACGTATATCAAGATAGACCACGTATATCAAGATAGACCACGTACATCAAGATAGACCACGTACGTCAAGATAGACCACGTACATCAAGATAGACCACGTATATCAAGATAGATAGACCACGTATATCAAGATAGACCACGTATATCAAGATAGACCACGTATATCAAGATAGACCACGTACATCAAGATAGACCACGTATATCAAGATAGATAGACCACGTACGTCAAGATAGACCACGTACATCAAGATAGACCACGTACATCAAGATAGACCACGTATATCAAGATAGATAGACCACGTATATCAAGATAGACCACGTATATCAAGATAGACCACGTATATCAAGATAGATAGACCACGTATATCAAGATAGACCACGTACATCAAGATAGACCACGTATATCAAGATAGACCACGTATATCAAGATAGACCACGTACATCAAGATAGACCACGTATATCAAGATAGACCACGTATATCAAGATAGATAGACCACGTACATCAAGATAGACCACGTACATCAAGATAGACCACGTATATCAAGATAGACCACGTACATCAAGATAGACCACGTACGTCAAGATAGACCACGTACATCAAGATAGATAGACCACGTACATCAAGATAGACCACGTACGTCAAGATAGACCACGTACGTCAAGATAGACCACGTATATCAAGATAGACCACGTACATCAAGATAGACCACGTACATCAAGATAGACCACGTACATCAAGATAGACCACGTACGTCAAGATAGACCACGTACATCAAGATAGATAGACCACGTACATCAAGATAGACCACGTACGTCAAGATAGACCACGTACATCAAGATAGATAGACCACGTACATCAAGATAGACCACGTACATCAAGATAGACCACGTACGTCAAGATAGACCACGTATATCAAGATAGACCACGGGCGTCTCACTCCAAATCCGGTTAAGCAATAACTACCGAAATACGGTTAATAGAGTAGTTCATTCATGCCTACTTACATGAAAATACGTAAATACGAAAACTAATACGCCAAAAATATCCAAACTAGATTCCACTCTAGAGAACTTTTGTAGCTTATTAAAGGAAAAATATCTATCTTTTGGTTTCTAAAGATAACATGTCTGGATGCGATATCTATGAGTGAGCAGGAGTGTGGTTGGAACGATAGCCAACCAGTATTGTGGCCGTGACCGTAGAATCGCCAACTGTCAGCCAGTTAGCGATATCGCTCGCAAATATACATTGCGGTATACACAGCAAAAATATATCGCGAAATTACTGTTCAATTCGCTGTATATAAAGCGATCTATGATGTCAACAAAGGTCCCCATAACACAGTGTTTACTCAAGCCGACAGACCTATTGTGCTCTCAGACCCCCTTCAAGGTCTGCGGGTTCACCCTATGCCCCTGTTACCTAGCAGTAAAAAAGGTACCTGGGTGTTAGTCAGCTGTCACGGGCTGCTTCCTGGGGGTGGAGGCCTGGTCGAGGACCGGGCCGCGGTGACTCTAAAGCCCTGAAATCATCATCTCATCTCAAGAAGAAGGTGAAGCTTGGACTTGGAAAGGTGACCCAAGATCACAGAATGCTCAAGGACTCGAGCAAGGACTCGAGCAGAGTCACCCACCAAACCACTCATAAAAAAACTCACAATGCAGTTCATCTCACACAATAAACTGTCAAAAAAAAAGAGCCACTAGCATCACTGATTAGAATGTATTCCTCGGTGTTCTGCTCGAGTGGTGATAAGCCGTGTATTGATTAGCTTACCACCTGGACATTGCTCGAATGCCCGCGACCAAGTTCAAGAAAAATGGTACATGCCATTTTTTTTTACCAGTGAGGGAATTGAGTGTGGAGATGGAGGCTGGAACTGCCCTAGAGGAGCTCTCATACAGGCTCGCCCTCATTAGGGTCTCAACAACCTATAATGAACAACCCAGCGGGTTTTCTTCCTATTGGGGAGTGTTGAACATGCTGGTATGGGGCGGTGTGTCCACTCACAGGATGTGTGGCGCGGCCTAATACTGTCACTATGGCGGTGTGTCCACTCACAGGATGTGTGGCGCGGCCCAATAAACTCGCCCCTCGGGGCAAAATTTAAATTTTTTCAATTTGGTTGTTGTTGTTGTTGATTCAACAACTGGGAACCCAAAAAAAAGTTCCAAGTAGCACGGTCTATGGTGATCCCGTTGCTGGGACTAACGCTCCCCTTGCTATTAATATAAAAATATGATAACAGTTATCCTCGAATGATAACGATTCACTCCTGATCACACACACACGTTATCACGACGCTGGACCAGTGATTAGTCACACTGAGTGATCAATTATAGACATTAATCACACTGAGTGATCAATTATAGACATTTTATCGTCATTTTTTCTCTTGATTGCCACAGTGATACCAACACTACCAGCGAGACAGGTTGGCAGAACTGTCGGCAGATCAACAAACCTCGCTCTCCAAAATATTCCTTCTCCCAAATGTGCTTAGGTTAATTCTGCTTTTTTTACAAAGTTAACCAGATAGAAGTAGGTTTAACGTCTTTATCATTGCCATAGTTTGTATATATAAAGCTGAATACGTAATTAAGATTAAAAATATGGGCTGGAGGCTGAGTGCCGGTCAATAAGTAACTGTAGATATTTGATCTTGGAGGCTGGGCTCACAGTCAAGTAGAACCCTTCAATGGTGAACTTTGGTGTTCATGTTGAACAGTTACCACCCTTCGGGGAGGCTGTGAACAGGCTGTATCTCCGTCTTCTGAAGGCTTATGAACATATTGAACTTCAAACTAGCCTGTGCTCTAAGCGCTAACTCAACACACACTTACACACACACACACACACACACACACATACACACATACACACACACCCACACACACACACACACACACACACACACACACACACACACACACACACACACACACACACACACACACACACACACACACACACACACACACACACACACACACACACACACACACACACACACACACACACACACACACACACACACACACACACACACACACACACCACACACACACACACACACACACACACACACACACACACACACACACACACACACACACACACACACACACACACACACACACACACGTGTTCAAAATCAATCAGTGGTGAACATCACATTCAAAATAGACAATGGTTCACATCAGCCTTTTAGAACAAAGAGTTCTCCATGTGCAGGCGATGAGTCACAATAACGTGGCTGAAGTATGTTGACCAGACCACACACTAGAAGGTGAAGGGACGACGACGCTCCGGTCCGTACTGGACCATTTTCACAATCGACTTTGAGAATGGTCCAGGACGGACCGAAACGTCGTCGTCCCTTCACTTTCTAGGGTGTGGTCTGGTCAACAAAGGGTTCTCCATCACTATACACATTATACTGTTCGCTACTAGTCAAAGTCGCCCTACAGATTTGGTAAATATAATATAGAATATAGCTGGGATAAGAAGGGGGGCCGGGATTTTGTGGGGGGGGGGGTCTGGGGGGGGTTAGTGGAGCACGTCGTGGTTCAGGGGGTTAGGGAGGGGTGTCGGAGATGCCACCTGGCCAGCCAAGAGGAGCGTAATAAAAGCCTGAAGACTGATAACCTTGTATTAGAGAATGATTCAACAGCCTGATCCTCAAGATATCAGGCAACCTGTTTCTCACCAACATGCGACTCTGGTCTCAAAATGCATCGGACACAACAGCTTAGTGGGTCCCTTCCCTCCCCCCCCCCCTTTACAAAAGTCCTGGTAATTTGGGAACACGTTGGTGACCCCGCTCTGATCATGACCTTTGACCTCACGTCTCCAGCTGCTCGCCCAGCATCTTAAAGACTCAACTGCTACAGTAATGAGATAGTCATTGTATCCAATTGCTTACAGTTGTTCGAACTTACGAATCTTAAGTTGTTTGGTAGTTTGGTAGTCTCACACTAAGGACCACGGTGCTTGCAGTCCTAATATATATATATATATATATATATATATATATATATATATATATATATATATATAGCCAGGTGGTCAGTGTGGCGTGGGTCATGATGAGTGGATCTTAGCTCTTGGGTCCCGGTTCTTCCTTGGTCACTGCTGACATCAGCAATGTGACATGTATATATATTGGGAATGTATATTACATCATTATGTATGATATTGTTTTGATTGTGTCAGTGTGAGTGGTTAAGGCAGGTGTGTGTGGTGGGTGGGTGTTGGTACTGTGGTAGAGGCAGGTGTGTGTGGTGGGTGGGTGTTGGTACTGTGGTAGAGGCAGGTGTGTGTGGTGGGTGTTGGTACTGTGGTAGAGGCAGGTGTGTGTGGTGGGTGTTGGTGCTGTGGTAGAGGCAGGTGTGTGTGGTGGGTCTTGGTGCTGTGGTAGAGGCAGGTATGTGTGGTGGGTGGGTGATGGTACTGTGGTAGAGGCAGGTGTGTGTGGTGGGTGGGTGTTGGTACTGTGGTAGAGGCAGGTGTGTGTGGTGGGTGGGTGTTGGTACTGTGGTAGAGGCAGGTGTGTGTGTGGTGAGTCTTGGTACTGTGGTAGAGGCAGGTGTGTGTGGTGGGTGGGTGTTGGTACTGTGGTAGAGGCAGGTGTGTGTGGTGGGCGGGTGTTGGTACTGTGGTAGAGGCAGGTGTGTGTGGTGGGTGGGTGTTGGTACTGTGGTAGAGGCAGGTGTGTGTGGTGGGTGGGTGTTGGTACTGTGATAGAGGCAGGTGTGTGTGGTGGGCGGGTGTTGGTACTGTGGTAGAGGCAGGTGTGTGTGGTGGGTGGGTGTTGGTACTGTGGTAGAGGCAGGTGTGTGTGGTGGGTGGGTGTTGGTACTGTGATAGAGGCAGGTGTGTGTGGTGGGCGGGTGTTGGTACTGTGGTAGAGGTAGGTGGTGTGTGGTGGGTGGGTTTTGGTACTGTGGTAGAGGCAGGTGTGTGTGGTGGGTGGGTGTTGGTACTGTGGTAGAGGCAGGTGTGTGTGGTGGGTGGGTGTTGGTACTGTGGTTGAGGCAGGTGTGTGTGGTGGCTGGGTGTTGGTACTGTGGTAGAGGCAGGTGTGTGTGGTGGCTGGGTGTTGGTACTGTGGTAGAGGCAGGTGTGTGGTGGGTGGGTGTTGGTACTGTGGTAGAGGCAGGTGTGTGTGGTGGGTGGGTGTTGGTACTGTGGTAGAGGCAGGTGTGTGTGGTGGGTGGGTGTTGGTACTGTGGTAGAGGCAGGTGTGTGTGGTGGGTGGGTGTTGGTACTGTGGTTGAGGCAGGTGTGTGTGGTGGGTGGGTGTTGGTACTGTGGTAGAGGCAGGTGTGTGTGGTGGGTGGGTGTTGGTACTGTGGTAGGGGCAGGTGTGTGTGGTGGGTGGGTGTTGGTACTGTGGTAGAGGCAGGTGTGTGGTGGGTGGGTGTTGGTACTGTGGTAGAGGCAGGTGGGTGTTGGTACTGTGGTAGAGGCAGGTGTGTGTGGTGGGTGGGTGTTGGTACTGTGGTAGAGGCAGGTGTGTGTGTGGTGGGTGGGTGTTGGTACTGTAGTAGAGGCAGGTGTGTGTGGTGGGCGGGTGTTGGTACTGTGGTAGAGGCAGGTGTGTGTGGTGGGTGGGTGTTGGTACTGTGGTTGAGGCAGGTGTGTGTGGTGGGTGGGTGTTGGTACTGTGGTAGAGGCAGGTGTGTGTGGTGGGTGGGTGTTGGTACTGTGGTAGAGGCAGGTGTGTGGTGGGTGGGTGTTGGTACTGTGGTAGAGGCAGGTGTGTGTGGTGGGTGGGTGTTGGTACTGTGGTAGAGGCAGGTGTGTGTGTGGTGGGTGGGTGTTGGTACTGTGGTAGAGGCAGGTGTGTGTGGTGGGCGGGTGTTGGTACTGTGGTAGAGGCAGGTGTGTGTGGTGGGTGGGTGTTGGTACTGTGGTAGAGGCAGGTGTGTGTGGTGGGTGGGTGTTGGTACTGTGGTAGAGGCAGGTGTGTGTGGTGGGTGGGTGTTGGTACTGTGGTAGAGGCAGGTGTGTGTGGTGGTTGAGTCTTGGTACTGTGGTAGAGGCAGGTGTGTGTGGTGGTTGGGTGTTGGTACTGTGGTAGAGGCAGGTGTGTGTGGTGGTTGGGTCTTGGTACTGTGGTAGAGGCAGGTGTGTGTGTGGGTGGGTGTTGGTACTGTGGTAGAGGCAGGTGTGTGTGGTGGATGGGTCTTGGTACTGTGGTAGAGGCAGGTGTGTGTGGTGGGTGGGTGATGGTACTGTGGTAGAGGCAGGTGTGTGTGGTGGGTGGGTGTTGGTACTGTGGTAGAGGCAGGTGTGTGTGGTGGGTGGGTGATGGTACTGTGGTAGAGGCAGGTGTGTGTGTGGTGAGTCTTGGTACTGTGGTAGAGGCAGGTGTGTGTGGTGGGTGGGTGTTGGTACTGTGGTAGAGGCAGGTGTGTGTGGTGGGCGGGTGTTGGTACTGTGGTAGAGGCAGGTGTGTGTGGTGGGTGGGTGTTGGTACTGTGGTAGAGGCAGGTGTGTGTGGTGGGTGGGTGTTGGTACTGTGATAGAGGCAGGTGTGTGTGGTGGGCGGGTGTTGGTACTGTGGTAGAGGCAGGTGTGTGTGGTGGGTGGGTGTTGGTACTGTGGTAGAGGCAGGTGTGTGTGGTGGGTGGGTGTTGGTACTGTGATAGAGGCAGGTGTGTGTGGTGGGCGGGTGTTGGTACTGTGGTAGAGGTAGGTGTGTGTGGTGGGTGGGTTTTGGTACTGTGGTAGAGGCAGGTGTGTGTGGTGGGTGGGTGTTGGTACTGTGGTAGAGGCAGGTGTGTGTGGTGGGTGGGTGTTGGTACTGTGGTTGAGGCAGGTGTGTGTGGTGGCTGGGTGTTGGTACTGTGGTAGAGGCAGGTGTGTGTGGTGGGTGGGTGTTGGTACTGTGGTAGAGGCAGGTGTGTGGTGGGTGGGTGTTGGTACTGTGGTAGAGGCAGGTGTGTGTGGTGGGTGGGTGTTGGTACTGTGGTAGAGGCAGGTGTGTGTGGTGGGTGGGTGTTGGTA